CTTCCATTCCACTAGCTGCTGGGCTCTCTTCTGAATGATGTTCAGGAGGGAAAGATGAGTAGGTGGGCAGGACAGCCAGGCGAGAGGTGAATACTCCATCAAAGAGCAGACTTGGGAGTTGTAAAGGACCGCACATCCTTTGCTGTCTAGCAGAGGAGCGATATGTCGCATACAGACCAACTTCTTGCTGCGTTCTTTGCTAACTCTTTGACTTGACTGGTGAAGGTTAGGTGATTATCAATCTGCACACCAAAGAATGTTGATATCCTTGTTAATACTGATGGCTTCATTATTTAGTTTTATGGTAGATGCAAGGGCGTTGTCTGATGTCTGACGTCTAGATATAATCATTGCTTGGGTTTTATCTGGTGCCAGAGTATCCTGCCACTTTTTATCCCAATAAATTATAAATTTAAGTGTGTCATTAATGTGTCTAACTGTGTCTACGCGGTTTTGTGTATCGCAGCTGAATGTGAGAATGCATTCGTCAGCGTAAGCTTCAGGATGAGCTTCAGGATATCATTAAAGTGAACGTTCCACAGAAGTGGTCCGATTACACTGCCCTGTGGTACACTGGCCTGAATAGGGAATTCATTGGATGTGCAACCATTATTAACAACTTTAAGTGTTCTTTCGAGGAGGTAGTCCTCGAGTAGCATTAGTAGAATGCAGTCAATTATAAAACCCCTCACCTTCTTTGTAAGGACTTTATGCTACACTCTATCAAAAGCTCCTGCTATATTGAGTGCAACAACGAAGGTGTCCTTATGAGTATCAAGAGCTTGGTGCCATATTGTGGTTATGTGTAGAAGTAGGTGTGACACCAATCTCTGTGACCTGAAGCCAAATCGTCTTTGTACTGAGTACATGTTTTCTTATCAAAATAATGAGTCAAGTTTGTTTGCTAGGATTTTTTCAAATATTTTGCCTTTGGAGGAAAGGAGTGAAAGAGGGTGATAGTTATTTGGATCTGACTTGCTCTTCTTTTTGTGTACTGTCACAATGTTTGCTTTCCTCCAAATATTAGGCCATTTACTGTACCCCAGGTTTGTTTGGAAAAATGGGGCAAGAGGAGCAGCCAGCTGCCTA